TCTTTTCTTTTTCATTCTAATAGTCTGGGGATAAATCGTCTTATCATGATATCAGTTCACCTTGGTGGAATATTGATAAAAAATGTTTTTTTTTACATAATAAAATACTATAATATATGTTTTTAGAATCTATGCTTCTTGATGTGTTTACCAATTTAACATAGTTGTTCGTTGAATATTTAAACTGGATTTTATAAATACTATGGGTACCATATTGTAAATTTAATTTAATAATAATGTTTGACCTGTTTTATTAAGCATAAGAAATATATAGACAAATATTGTATTCAACTAACTTTTTAAGCATACATTTACTAAAAAATAATTAATCACCAACTTTAAAAAATACTAATAAGTTATTACAACTAATAACTGAAAACATGTTTGACTCATAAGTATAGAGGTATCTCTATTTAGTTTAAAACTAAATGAACAAAAAAGTAAATACTGTAATAATTTAATTATGATTACAATTTTAAAACAAATAACGACTTAACAAAGTAACAATTAAAAAACTTTTCAGATAATACATTCACCTCCTAATTAAATTGAATTAAACATTTCTTTTTCTTCATTATACATTTTGGTAATTTTAACATCACTGTCATACATTTATGTATTGAATTCCTTCAACGGCAAAGTGTCGGAGTAAATTAGGTAAAACACATTTATGATACTAAAAACCCGTTCAATCACAGCATTTGATATTGGCTAAAAAATTATTTTTCATACAAATTGACACAATTCATAAAGTTTATGATCTCAAGATGCTGTTGTAATTTGGCTTAGTTGTATCCAAAACTTTACCATAAATATATCATTGAATATTGATTGATGTATCAGTAATAAATTCATTGTATTTAAACAAACCAAGTTGTCCCCATTGACTTTCTATAACATCTCTATCTATGCGCCCTGCAATTAAATAAGAGCTCATGATATATACATTATTTAATAATTATTTGTATTTTTTATCTAGTATTCTTACCAACCAATTTAATAGGAAGCTCAGAGAATTTTGGTCTAGAAAATTGATTGAAACATTCAGCTGGAAATGGGTATTTAATTTTTTCAATTACTTGTAAGTTATCTTTCATTAGATTACACATTCCATGGCATAAATTAAATAAAAAATTGGACTGTCTTTGTTGAACTATAATTCCAATTGAACTTTTTTTAAATTTCCAGTCTCAATACTTAATTTTGTTTGCTCTTCAAATTGATAACCAAAATCTAAACAGTTGAAAGGTAAATGGCAATCAGGAAACCTTCAAGAATTTTTAGGTAATTTCACTTGTATAGTTGTATGACATTAAGCTTATATTAATGCCTATCTGCCTGTTTTGGAATTATATTGGTTATATTATTTGGTTTAAAATTTTGTTGATCGTGGAAATTAATAGTTTTTGAATGTCACTATATGCTTTTGACATATCTAAATTTGTACTTGTTTGAACAACTATATTTACTTGTGTTAGTTCAAATAAAATTGGTTTTATAAACATTAAATATAACTAATGAATATCATCTTTAAGCATGTCATTTAATGTTCTAGTCATATAACAACTTTCTTTTCTATGAGCTATAATATTGTAGTGAGTTTTTACAGCCAAAAACTGTTCTAGTAAACTTTTGATGTAATCATAACAGGCTAACCAACGAGTGGTTGATAGTTGAAACAACTTAGGTGGAGTCTTTCCATCATATAAAGCTTCAAATTAACTTTTATAAATCAATCATCTCAAGGAACGGTGTAAAAACTAATTTCGTTTCTCTTGAACCGGAAATTCCAAACTACTAGGTAGTTCTTCACATGCATGGGCTGATCAAATGTTGAGCGAATGGCAAACACATTTAATAAGCTAAATATCTGGTACTATTTTTTTTTAATAATTTGAACAGTGATTTGTTTTTACCACAAAGATTACTTGAGCCATCTGTGCCAATTCCAATTCAATTTTTTACTTCTAATTTAGATTGAATTGAAGTCTACAAATACATCTTGTAATACTTCCACAGTAGCTTTTTCAATCTCCAAACCCAAAGATCAAAGAAAATCATTGGTCATATTACTTAGAGCAACACTTTAATATCTGACACAAACAGTTCTAATATTCTTGTATGTACCAATATCCAGGTTCACAATTTCAATTAAAAAGGTGGGGGTGCTGAAGCCCCTTTATTTTTTTGCATATTATCTTATGGTTGTGGATGCCTGCATAATGATTATTAAAATGAAAATAGATATGAAAAATATTGGGGGTGCTAAGCACCCCAAGCACCCCCCAAATTGCGCCTATGCCAATATCCATTGATTCATCAACGGTTATAGAATATTGTTTTAAACCTATATCGTCGACAAGTTCTTTTAAATATGCTGGGGCTATAACATTTTGAACATTTAGTTTGATGTAGTTCAGGTGTATTAAATGGTAAACCCAAATGTTTTAAGTTCACCGAGATGATTGATTGTTTAAATGACAGAATTTGCAGCGGTGTGCATTGCTGATTTAACATCTCTAATTTTTTCTGTATCAGTCTTGACTGTAATTGCTAAATTAAAATAACTGTTACTTTTCAGAAAATTTTATTTATTTTTTCAATTAAGTTCAACTTACCAACTTACAAAAACAAATTAATAATAATAATAAATAATTTTAACCATTCTTATTATTTAATCAAAAATTAAATTTATAATGACGTACAGAATACGCTATAATATGTATATTTAAAAAAAAATTATTGTTGTTATTCAATATGACGTGAAATATAAAGTAATGATTATTGTATTATAATAAATATAAATATCGTATAAATAAAAACAAATTTAGGTATAAATATAATATTTTTTTTTTTTTTTTAAGCTTTTACAGTCCGTTTAGGACCTTCGCTGCCTCAACCACATCTTTCCACCTAACTCTGTCTTCGCTATCTTCAATCCTTATTAATTCTTCTGAGACTTCTGTGAGATCCGTTTTCACTCTGTCCTCCCATCTTTGTCTTGGTCGGCCCCTAGGTCTTTTACCGTTTAATCTTCCAGTGAAAATATTTTTTGCAATACCGTCCGATCTCCAAATATGACCCGCCCATTCTAAGGTTTTAAGGTTTTATCTAATTTTTAGATACGAACTTATAATGGGTTTATTAAACATTTGGTATATTTCTTGGTTAGTTCTTCTTCTATATTCCCCATTCTCAACTACAGGGCCATATATTCGACGTAGTACTTTTCTTTCAAATATGTTTAACTTCTCCTCATCTCCCTTAGTTACCGACCAGGTTTCACAGCCATACGTCAAGACCGGTCGTAAAAAGCTGGAATATAAATATTCTTTTGACTTCCTGGACAAAAGTTTCGACTTAAACAATTTCGCAAGAGCATAATATCCCTTGTTTTCTGATGTAATTCTCAATTTGATTTCGTTGTGCATATTGTTACGGTTGTTTTTATTAGTTCCTAGATACTTGAAATCTGTTACTTGTTGGAATACATATCCATCCACTAGCATATCATCCAGAGCCCTCTCTTCTCTTGATACTACTAGGTATTTGCTCTTTTCTTGATTAACTTTTAATCCTATAGGTTCTGCTGCTTTGATTAGGTCTGCAGTTGTCATTTCCACATCAATTCGGGAGCTACCAATTATTACGATATCATCTGCGTATGCTAAAATAGTGTTCTGTTCCAGAATTTCCATATTTTGTCTAGCAGGGAGAGATCTAATTACTTTTTCTAAAGCCAAATTGAAAAGTATTGGAGAAAGCGCATCTCCCTGTCTTAGGCCAGCCCTGACATCAAAACTTTCTGACAGTGTATTTGCAAATTTTACTCTACATTTTGTTTCGGTATTGCACTCTTTTATCAGCTGGATTAGTTTGGTTGGTATACCAAATTCCTCCAGTGCTTCCCATAGTTTTCTCCTTATAATACTGTCGTACGCCTGTTTGAAGTCCACGAAGCAAAGATGTACTTCTCTACCATACTCATAGTACCTTTCTAACAATTGTCTGATACTAAAAATGGGATATGTTGTAGATTTCCCTCTCATAAAGCCGCTTTGGTAGTCTCCAATTATATCGTTAGTATAGACTTCAAGCCTTCGCAGGATTGCTATCGACAGAACTTTATAGCAAGTGTCTAAAAGTGAGATTCCTCTATAGTTTGATGTTTCCATCGGGTCTCCTTTTTTATATATCGGGCAAATGATCGCTGTTTTCCAGTCGTTCGGGACTTTTCCACTTACCCATATTTCTTTGATCAATAGCCAAATCTTTGATATTAATTTTGGGTTAGCTGTTTTAATTAATTCCGCATTGATATTGTCCTCCCCCGGTGCCTTATTGTTTTTTAGAGATTTCATATCTGTGTTATTTCTTCATATTCTGGTTCTGGTAATTCTGGCTGTACCGAGTAGTTAGTGGTATGTTCTTGATGTTCTTGATATTCCTCTGGGTGTACATCCTCGTTAGTAGTACTCAGTAATTCTTTGAAATGTTTCCGGAATTCTTCAACTATATTTGATTCCTCTGTAATCAAACAGCCATGAGCATCTTTAACTATGTTGGTTTTGGCTTTAAAACCCTCCTTGATAGATCTGCATTTTCCGAAAAATAGCCGTGGATTCCTTCTGTGTTCTTCTATGTTTCTTATTTTTTGTTTTTCATACTCTCTCTTTACGTTTCTTATTTTCTTACTTGCAATTTTTCTGAGATCCTGATATCTTTCCACAATCTCCGGCGTTGGGTCCTGGATCATTTCCTGTCTAGCTTTACTTCGCTTTTCTGTAACGTCTCTACATTCGTCATCAAACCATGGTTAGGTTAGCTAACCAGGTAATGGTCAGTGTCGCCATCCGCTCCTCTATAGCTTCTTACGGAATTTATACTAGATTTAAATCTTTTTTCAATCACTACATGATCTATCTGTCTTTTGTATTGGCCACCTGGGGCAATTCAAGTATGTTTATATATATCTTTTCGTTGGAACTGCGTACTGCTTATTACCAACCCTTTATCTGTGCAATTAATCTCATACCATTATTGTTGCTTTCTTGGTGCAAACTTTCTTTGCCTACAATTGGTTTGAAGATATTCTCCCGCCCTACTTGAGCATTAAAATCTCCTACTACTATTTTTATGCTTTCTCTAGGGATATTGTCAAGTACTCTATCAAGGTCATCGTAAAAAAGATCCTTTAGTTCACAATCTGCTGTTTCCGTTGGGGCATAACAATTGACGATCACTGTATCAAATGTTTTCCCAGTTAATACTATGTAGCATATTCGGTCATTGATCGGTTCAAATTTCTTTACTAATCTCGACACGGATGACTTGATTACGAAACCAACCCCGTTCTCGTGTTTTCCATTGTTCTTTCCGCTAAAGAACACTGTCATATTTTCGGATTTGAGATTGCCCGATCCTGGCCAACTAATCTCCTGCAATCCCACTGTAACATTGTATCGGTTGATTTCCTTTAATACGCATTGTAAAGAACCTGGTTTATACAGAGTTCTGATATTCCATGTTCCAAATCTCAAAATTCCAGCATTTCCGGTCCGGTTTCCAAGTCTGTTATCCAAATTATCAAACGATTTCCGAGGCTTAATGGTTTTTGGTTTCTTAATGGTATTTTTTTTACAAGGAAGGGTCGTTGGCCCTTCGCTTAACCCCCAACCTGGAGGACCAGACGGGTGAAACACGATTGCGGACGCTTTACCTTTTTTGCAACACGATTGCGGACGATCATTATAGAACAAAAGGTCTTATGTTGCATCCGAAAAATGACACGACTGCGGTCGAAATTTAATGAAACGTTGCCAAGTTGTGCGACGCGGTCTACCAAGCCCAAATATTATCAATTTTATAAAAGTTCTTAATAACACAGTTAAAAATTGAAAATCAAAAAAAGTAAAAAACAAGAGCTCAATATAATAATATAATATACACATTTAAAGTCAAGAGCTCAATATAATAATAAATTAATTAAATTTATATTTTTTCCCCCTGTAATGACAACTAATTTTTTTTAAATATTGTATCACGTTTTGGTGATTTTTGTTATCATTATAGCTCTGAATAGTTAGGTTGATTCTATCTAAATCTTTTTTTGCCACCGATGCCGTCAAAATACTTGCACTACAGACTTTATTAATTTGTACATAACCATTTCAAAATTCCATCTTTCCGCAGTCGCCTAAATCCATATTTATTCGTTTTGTGTAGAACTAACTCTTTACCACGTTCTGATCACTCTCAGAATTTCCACATACCCACATTATCGAAGTATTATTTATAAATTGGGCAACATGTGTCCGCAATAGTGTAATATTCGGGGGTCCGCTGATAAACTATAATCGTTCGCAATCGTGTCAATAAAAAGGTCGCCCCGATAAAAACCGTCCGCAGTCGTGTATCACCGGACCAGACTACCCCAACCAATTAAGGTCAGGGTAGGGCTATAATATAGAAATAATAATTTCCTTCCAATTTCGGCACTATATTCAAGTATTCAACACGTCTTTTGGTGAAACTGATATTTCCCAGTGAACGGATATAAAAGTCAGCAATATTAAACGGTTGTTTCCAATTTGATTTCTTAGTAGTGTTTTTACTCTTTTTAAAATTGAAAAAGCTCGTTCCACTTCAATTGTTGATACTGGGAGAGTTGACAAAACTCGTAACAAATGGTTTATGTTTGAATAAAAGTCGAATCATACGAGCCTAAAATAGCCATTATATCTGTTGGGGTTTCTTCAATATTTTTCTAATTTTAATACTAAGTAATTAATCACTCTTTATATTTTTTTCAATAATTTTATCTTTAAAATAAATGCGAGATTTTTTAGTAGTTTTTCTAAAGTTAATTTTGGTAACAATATTTCTATTGACGATAAAATATCATTTTTATGTTCAAACCTATTTTCGAGATCTAATAAATCCAGCTTCCCATTCGCTCTAAGTAAACAATTTTAGTGATGGCACGACAGTGTATATTATCTCGAATCAGGAGTTGCCCATTGAAGCAGTGTAAATGTTAGGGTTTTTTAACTGGACTTAACTAATTACCTACTGAATAATACCTAACAAATTTGAAATAATCAGACAAACATCGGTGTAATTACTAATTACCTCAGTATTAATGAAGGGAGATGACCTTTTGGCGGTAAAGACGTTTATATAATAATACTAGAGAGGAAAAATTAAAACAAAAATCATTGATGTAAAAAATCGGAATCCGAGTGGAACGAACAAATTAGCGTTTTTACAATGATGTTTTTTTTTGTACTCGTATGCATAATAATTAATTTAATTTTATGTTATAGAAAAAATTACCAAATTATACGATTAGCACACACATAAATATATATATATAATATATATATATATTATATAAACCCTCGTAAAAACTAAACCCCATGACAACTAAGTTGATAAGGAATGTCACAGTACTAATTAATAGTTACCCACCTAAATTAAGATACATTTGTAATATAATAATCATGATTGTCTTTTATCGTCTTTTATTGTTACACCAATTGTATTGCTTTGATTTAAATCAAAATATATTATACGCGCATTTATGACCATTGTACGCTATATGGCTTTAGTATAAATGGCATAACACAATTGCCACATAAACAAGGTGTCTATTAACACGACGCCTACACATATTAATAAGTGGTCAGGCCATGAACATGTACTGATAGAGCACGCCACAGTGATATAATAATAATATATATTGATTTAATAATATATTAACATCAGCAGTAAGCTTAGGTTCCGTAGGACCAGGGTCGTATGCACGGATGAGTTGCTACTCGATATACCTGCGTTCGTCAGTTTCCAAGTTGTCGGTAACGGCGGTTCACTGGACATCACGACCACAGCATAAGTTCCTGTTACAAATATTCTGATATCAAACCCGATTTTTTTTATAACGATCAAATTTTCATACTGTTTAGAGGAGAATATTTACTGTGCAACATCATTTTTATCTTTTTGATATCACTATTACAAAAAAAGTTATTTGAGCTTGAAATAATGCATTTTTAAACAATAAGAAACAATATGAAAATGGTTTTGCTTAGTTTGTACTACAGCTTGTTTGGTTCTATCCCGCGCAAAACAGTTTTAGCTCTGTTTTACATTTGTAAGGGACACTCAGGGACATCACATGTGAGTAGCGTGGAATGTGAGGAGTGGAAAACTGTAAAAAATAAAAACCATCTAACATCCACAGTCATCAGAATATTTGTAACAGGGACTTATGCTGTGATCGTGATGTCCAGTGAGGTGTCGCCGTTGATACTCGCCGCCCTTCACGACGTGAAAACTAACAAATTAAGGTATACCGAGAAGCAACTACCCTGGTCCATAAGGGACCTAAACTCACTGCTAATATTAATATATACTATTACTAGCTGACCCGGCAGCGTATTTACGTTCTGTACATGAATCTAGCACTCGGTGCCAAATCAACGTATAATCCGGAGTTGTAATTTCTGTTCTGTTTTATACACGAGTTTGGCACTTTTACGCAATCGTCATATAAATATTATAAAATAAGTATTTGTAAATATAATTTGTGTATGACGGCGTAAGTACATCAACATAATAATAAAATAATGTTAGTGTTTGTAATTAAGTATTATTAATATATTTTTTTTTTTAATTTTGTATATTATTATAGCTAAAGAAGAATTATATTCATATACATTTCTTACGTCATTTAATATTTATTAAAACTTGTCACACATTTTATAAATCAGCTTAAGTATATAATACATTTTTTACACATTTTTTTTAATCAGCTTAAATATATAATAATTAAATAATGTTAGTCCTATTAATTAAGTTGTTTTTTATCACAATTATTAAATTATAAAATATATACTATATTAAATAGTGTTTGTTTACTGTACTGAGTACCTACCTATGTCAATGTGATTTTGCATTTGGCGTATTGTTTTTTATATTTTCTCCTAAACATCTTTTTTTGGTACGTCTTTTCTTAGATGGCATTTCACTATTTGATGGTCGACCTGCTTGAATTCGTTTGGCACCTGTTGTTATCTGACTTATCCTTCTTGACCGCGACGTTGGTTGGATTCCTATTACTTTGCCTCGGCGTAATACGCTAGCAGAAATTTCAGATAATTCTGAAACTGTAGTAATTTCACTAAGTTGCTTGTTTAATAGTTTTATTTTGTTTAAAACAAATTTGTTGTTGTTATTTTTTGCTATTTGTTTTATATTATTTATATTTTTAGTTAGTAATTCCAATTCAATATCCATTTCACTGTTAGTTAAAGCATTGTCATTGTTAATATTAGAATCATTTTCTACTACAATTTCCATATTACATTTTTGCATACTACTATGAAAATTAAAATTATCCGAGTTATTTTCTTTATTATTTAACGTTGCACATTCAGTCTCCGTCTCCATTGTGTCCATATCCATTTTATGTAGAAACGTATGGTCAAAATTATTTCCTACAGCCAAAGTCCCTATTTGAATTCGATCACTGTCTGTCAAGTTAGGAAGATTACTAACAGTGTCTCCAAATAAGTGTACTGCACATATATGCTTGCAAAATCGACCACCTTGGCCGAATGCACAATCACAAAAAAAATTTAATTTATCGTTTTTTATAACTGTATAAAAATTATTTCCAGATGATGAATTAATTTCATAAGTTGTATCATTTTTTTGGTTTACTTCCAGTAATTTAGCTTTATTACAAAAATTTTGGAAAATAATTTCAAATTTTGTAACACGAAAAGACGAAAATTTTATCAGACGCCTCTTATGATAATCCTCTAAAATTTTGCAAATATAGTCGACTAAAGCTGCCGAATTAAAAGCTTTACAACGTTCAAGTACAATGTCTTTAAAAACTCTTATGGATGCTTCTACAATATTATTGGTATTATGGCCATGAGTTGGAAATTGATTTCTATAACATTTACACCACTCTAACATTCTATTTCGATAAGTCATCATATGTTTTGAAAAAAGAGTTGATTTATCGTTGCATAGTTCATCCATCATTACTTTAGCTTCGATTTCATTGGGCGAATACATAACTTTTCGAAATCTTTGCATGTATAATTGCCTTTCAAATTTACTAACACCATGTTTACTTTCGCATAGCCAACGCCATAATGCCTGTAGAACATGAAATGTACACAACAATAGTGTAGAATTTGGAAAAATTTCATTAAGGGCTTGGCGTTCTGATTTACTATCATCTGTCATAAAAATCGATGGCTCCATTTGTCCATAAAAAGCAAAATTTCCCAATGATTTTCTTAAAAATTTGAATGCACTAGCATAATCATCTTTAGTAGTGAATTTATGAATCAATACCGCTAATGGTATGCCACCAACCTTTGTAACCCCAAAGAAAAATGTAACACATGAGCCACCTTGGTCACATGAACCACTGGAATCAACAAAAACAATATCTCTAGAAAGTGGTAATCCATGAGCTCTGCGCATTATGGGCGTTACAATACAAATACAAAATGGATTCTCCTGCACTTCAATAATATAATCGGGAAATGTATTTTGCATTTCCCTCACAACTTGTGCAATGCTATTTTCTTTACGATCACCAAAATGTTTTGTCCTAAAAGGACATTTTATTTTATTTACGTATAAAATGTAATGAAAACATTAAAATAACTTACCTCCAATAATCAAACATTTGATACACTTGTCGGTCCGTAGGATTTGTTTGTGCATCTGCTAATAGTTTAATAACTTGCATATCGTCGTCAATGTTGGCCGTTATTTTAATTTCGTGGTAAGCTTTAGCTGCTGAAGGAGTCATTCCGTTTGAAAACATTTCTATAAATTCGTCTTGAATATGTTTTGCTACTCTTAAGTAACTATAAGCCTCAGCATTATTTATTTTATGTGTGTGATGGAAATTTATCTGGAAAAAAAAATTAAAAATCATATCATTGTGTATATATTATAACCTATTTACGTAAAAATACATTTAAATTTTGTTAATATTTGAACTTTAAATACTTATAAAAAAAAATTGTGACTACGTGTTTTTAATATTTAAAACTACCATTGTAACAAAATATTAGAAAAACACGTAGTCCCAAATTTCTTATTAATGTTTTAAGTTCAAATGTTGAACACATTTATCAAATTTAAAATTTAAAATTATTCTGTAAGTAGTTAAAAATGTTTAACTTAAAATATTTGGAAACAGTTCAAAACAAATTAAAATATTTTTACAATTTATCATACTCTT